CGTTTTACACAGTTAAATTATATATATAGAAAAAACGCAAGGGGGGAAATGGAAAGTGGCCGTTTGTACAGGTGGCCGTCTTATAGAGGTGGCCGTCAGGGCAGGTTCGACTGTAGTAGGGTAGGTATAGATACAGAGTACACAATACCACAATGCCAGTTATTGACAATATGCTTCACTATGAATCTTTTTCCCCACAATGGTCAGTGCAATTGCTAAAACTCAGGAGCATAATGTACGATTATATTATAATATATATAATATCACTTGGTAGGCCTGTCAGCAGTTTGAATGTAGATCCAAATTACAGGGTTATTTTTTTTCCAAATTATAAAGTCTTTTTTAATAAGTCCTATAATAGCTTATAGTTAAGATATGATTTCCTCGAAATATAGATCCAGATTTGTTTTTCATGCTCATCTGAAGGAAGGACTTCCGTAACTTCTAATACGGGGTGCCCATTGCAGATGGGATCGGGTCAGGTCGGGGGTGATCGCCCCATGCATTCACCGCCTGAAAACAAACGGCGTCTGAGTAGGGCTATCGGCCTGACCTGCCGATCCCATCCGTAACAGCCCCTTGTATCACCCTAACCTAACCCTAACGCCCTAATCCTAGCCTTATAATAAAACAGTATACTCTATGCTGTATTTCTACCCTCTATTTCATAGTGGCTGCTTGTTACGGAATTCCTCCCCATCGAAATACCATAGGCCTATTCAATCCCACTCTGTGTGGGTTCTCAAATCATGCTTTTGAGCATTCTTCACATTTTCACTGATTCATGTATTTGAAATAGTTTTTAAACTAATGCTAATGCTTGCATTTAGAATGGAAAACTTATCAAAATAAGTTGTAGTATGTTTGGAATTTTGCAACAATATGAATTAGGCCTAGGACCCGTTTGTCCTCACTTCCAAAGCTAGATATTGGGCCTACATATGTTTACGTTTCAGCAGCTCAGGGGGCCAGCCTGTTATAATATATACCCCACACCAGCTTATCTCTCAGAATTAGATTGTGAGGTTTCAAAGGGTCATCATAGTTCCCTTGAGTAGGATTAGTCTCTCTCTCTCTTTCTCTTGCCCTTTTTTAACTCCCAGTGGAGCATAGGCCATCAACAGCATTTCTTCAGCGAAGCCTGTCCTGTGCATCCTTTTCTAGCTGTTTCCATGATGTCCCTGCCTTTTCCATTTCCACTTGTACCTTTCGCCTCCATGTCATCTTTGGTCTTCCTTTCTTACGTTTTCCTTGTGGATTCCACGTTAAAGCCTGTCTAATGATGCTTGTCAGGGGTCTCCTCAGAGTGTGCCCTGATTAATGCACTGAGTGAAAAAGTTGGGATGACTAATGTTTCGGGAGCCTGCTAATCTTGGAAAATCAGACTTTATTTCGGAGTTTCATTTTCATGGTGTTATCATTAAGTATTGTTGCACAGGGTTTTTTTTTTGTTGCCATGCCTGTTTATCCAGTATTTGTCTGTCTGTCTGTCTGTCTGTCTGTCTGTCTGTCTGTCTGTCTTTCTGTCTGTCTGTCTGTCTGTCTGTCTGTCTGTCTGT